TTCTCGACCACTGAACCGGGCTTTCAGTTTTATACGGGTAATAATGTGACCGAAGCTCAACGCACTAAAACAACTCAAGCGGTTCCGGCCATTGAGTTGCGCAAGAATTCGGGTTTTTGTCTGGAGGCCCAGCGGTTCCCGAATGCCATCAATGAGCCGGAATGGAAGAAACAGGTAATACTGACCCCCAATGACACCTATAGACAGACCACTGTCTATAAGTTTGGCTTAATTTGAGAGTTGACTATGGATTGAGTTTTAGTCCACAATCTATGAAATTATTAAATCATGTTTTATATAAGAAATGTTTAATTCAATTATTTTTTACTTACGAATAAAAGGCTTTCGTGAATAAACTAAAAATTAATTTAAATAATTTATATTAAACACAAAACACAAGTTATTGTCAATAACTTATTGAATACAATACTATAAACTGTTTTAATTATACTTTAAATTTGTATAATTTATCAAATTTATTAATAAAACAATTTAATTAACATTCAAATTGTTTCTATGTTTATGTCTCGCAATCCTTAAGACACATCCAATTATTATCTCATCCGTGGTGTCCAATAGTTGATGTCATTTCTTATAATTACAAAAGTTTTATTACAATCACATTGTTTTTGGATAACTTATTAAAGGGTTTCCTATTGTTTGTGAACAAACCAATCATTAATACAGTAATAACTGTTAGATTTCGTCAATCATTAATAAATGCTTTAATAAAGCTTTTGTTTCACACGTTTTTGTCGCACATTCACTGATCATCTCTTCAATCATACGTTAAGGCATTGTCTTTGAGATCAAGTGTTTAGTCCTAATAATGGCAGGAATTAATGAGATTGTGTTCAAAACAAAAGGCACTCTTCGAGTGAACAGTTTCACGACACACACTGAGCCCATAGTTAGTGATGTGATCACCATTGGATCAGATGAGTGGCGCGTGTCGTTTGAGCGCCAGGACATCGACGGCCAACTCTTCTGCGGTGTTTATCTTCACTTACATAAGAGCGCGAAGAAGTCGATCGAAGCGGATCTCAAGGCATTCATATTAGGCGGCGATTATAAACCGCAGGAATCGATATCAATGGCCAGATTGCCGATCGTTGTTGGAAGCGGTCGCGGAATCCCGCAGTTTGTCAATCACTCAACACTATTGGCCAACAAAATGGGATTATTTCCCGACAATTGTCTCATCATTGGCTTCAATGTCACGACTTATAAGCCTATAAACTATCACAAAAAGTTGTGTCGATTTCCCAACAGTTTTCTCAACAAAGATCTCAGCGAATGCCGACTCGTTGTGGGAAAGAGAGAGTTCTTCGTCTCGAAAGCCATTCTCGGCGAACACTCGGAAGCGTTTCGACACTTGTTTACGAACGACGCCTTCAAGAAGAAGTCGAGTGAAGGCGTGTTCACTGATATCGACCCACAAGTCTTCGAAGAGTTTCTCCGCTTCCTATATAACGGCGATTCCGATAGACTCGAAGAGTTGGCCGAAGAATTGCTTCAGTTGTCCGTCAAATTCATGGTTTTGGATCTGAAGACAATTTGTCTGAATTTGCTTTATTTGAGAATCAATCCGAAGAATGCGTTCAAAATGTTGGATCTGATGACAAAATACAAGTCCGAAGAACTGAAGGCAAAAGTGTTGGCATTCATTGCGAAGAATACCATTGAATGTCTGATGACTAGTGTTGTGGACAACGACTATATGGGCGTTGGTTTGCAATTACACAACAATCTGAAGCCATTTGTGGACCGAAACAAATCCATTCAAACCATGGCTTATACTTATGTTATCTAACAATTCAGTCATTTTCTCTCCAAATAATGTCTTATTTTGAAACAACTTTTTAAATGTCAAACAATTTTATGAAAATCACAAAAATTATTCTAAATGTCAATCATTTTTAACACACAATTCAATTGTCTTAATACAGAATCTGAATCTAATAATAAAATTTGGAATTTTAAATGAAAACAAATGTTTATTTCAATTAATTTACATTAAAATAAAAATTTCTTTTGAATGCAAACTAAAATTAATTAAAATAATTTATAATACAATTAATCACAAATAGTGATCATTAGTTAAAACTCTATATCTGTCCTTTAAATTTGTAATATTTGTCGAAATTATCAAAAATCAATTTAAATATCTGTCGCTTAGAGTCAGTGAAACGGCTGTAAAGCATTTCCACTGCATTACTGTCGGCGCCGGACATCACTTTCAACAACCGATTCATTCCCGACATCACATTCTTCTTGACCACCGCGTGAACGGACACGCGTTCGGTGTGCGACACATACGCCGCCATCAGGTGTGGGGCAAACACCGCGTAATCGGCTCCGAGACCGGCGGTCAGTGTCAACAGTCGGTCCATATTCTTGGAGCAAATCTCCAACTCGTGCCGTACGGGCGGCTCGTAGTCGACAAACCGCTGTTCGGCCGACACTGTCATCAACGCCCGCATCAGATCCGCGATCAGAGTGTGCGTTGAGGCCACCGAAGCGATGGCCACAGACTTGTGTTGGAGTAGGAGTTCGTTGAGCACACCGTATATGCAGTCAAATAAGTGGACAAACAGTTCGGGCGCCGAGTGATAGTCGCCAAGTCGGGCGTCCGCACAGGTCTGCAGTCCGAGCGACACGTGAGCGCTGGTCAGCGCTGTCTGCGACGACATCACATGCAGTATAGAGCGGACAGTCTTCAGCGCAGGGACTTTGATGTGCAGCTGAAACTCGGGCGTGAGTTTCGTGTCGTTTTGATTACACGTTTGGCAATGAATTGAACACAGAGTTAACAATTCGGTCAAATGGTCGGCGAATAGACGCCGATTCTCTTCGGACTGATGAAAGTCGCTGTCGAAGACGGCTAACCATAGACTCAACGAATACGCTATGTAGAGATAGTCTTGACTTTTCAGTAAACTCATCAACATTTGCACCAATCGCTCCAATTCTGGCCGAGAACTGCATTTAATTAACGCCACAATCAGTGGTCCGACGCTTTCGGCGAACGCATTCTGTGCCGAAATAGTGGCCAAAAATCGGCTTCGGTTTAAGTCCGCAAAGAACTCGATTTCGTCGAAAGTGTCGGCAAATCTCTCCGTTTCGGTCCACACGTCCGTCAGCTTAACGCCCGTCAGTGTGTCCTCCGGTCGTTTGGCGTCCTCTTCGGCCGGACATAACACTTGAATCAAATTCATTGCAAACTCTTCGGGCAAAATGTTGGCCAACTTTTTCCGCTGATTGCAAAGCAGTACCAAAAACTTAACGCAACACTCGTTCGTCGATTTTGCCATCAATTGATTCACCGATATATCAATCAATTTGGCCAATAACCTCCAGACAAAAACCCGAATTCTTGCGCAACTCAATGGCCGGAACCGCTTGAGTTGTTTTAGTGCGTTGAGCTTCGGTCACATTATTACCCGTATAAAACTGAAAGCCCGGTTCAGTGGTCGAGAACGTCAACGATATTCCCGTTAGCGGTGACCGCACCTCAACCACTGCCTCATTCACCGACTCATTGCCACCGATATTATACTTCTTGGGATCCGTATCGATGACATAGCAATGATCGTAACCGTTGGGCAACACCTGACCGATACGTTCGCCTATTGTATGCCATTCCTGGTCGTTGCCGGTCGTAAAGTCCATCGCCGGTGTATCCGATTTGGTGGACAGTATTTTGCCCGTCGGCTGAAACGCGTCGTTAATGTCCAGATAGTTGTGGACAGACATCCGTACGGTATGGTTGAGTACGTCCAGCTCCGGGCCGTCGGCGCTACAGCCGCTCAGATTGAAATACGAGTGATTCGTAAGGTTTACGATAGTGTCCACCGAGTGTTCCGCAGCGGCCAGTCTTGCCGTGTAGTCCAGCGTTAACTCATTGGCGTCGGTGACAGTGTATGTGAGCTCTACCCTCAACTCTCCCGGATATCCCTCGTCCCCGTCGGGCGACACCAACTCCAGCGAAATTGAATCATTAGTCTTCCCGATGAGAGTCCACCGGTGTTTGTCATAGCCTTTAAGGCCGCCGTGCAGTGCGTTTGGCCCGTTGTTCAGCGCCAGTGTATACGACTGGCCGTTCAGTTCAAACTTGCCGTTAGATATGCTGTTAGTATTTGAATCCCGTTTAAAATCATTATTAATTGAAAGTATCATTAAATACAGGGTTAGTGTTTACGAACCGATTACCACATCTGCCAATAGCGGCCCCGAAGAATGGATTGCGGCCACGATTGCCGAGATAGCCCTCGAGATCGTCCCAACCGAGCACTACATCGCGCTTTTGGCCGCTTTTGTCGGTCACAAACACGTGAGTAATGGTCGCGCCGTAGTCTATGATCTTCACCTCCAAACCCCCGGTGCTATTACTGAGGGTATACTCATTGATGTTGTGATCCTTGTCGTAAACTTCAGTTTTTAGTGGCATTTTTGACCAATTATTTGATCTAAAATATGAAAATATGTGAATATTAAGTAAAAATTAATTAAATATATATTTTTATCGTAATATTCAGTAAATCTGTGGGAATATTACTGACAGAATATATCGGTTACTAAAATAATAGATTACTTATTATTATATCACCAAATGTTATGATAATATTTATGAAAACTCGATAACATGTATACTTTATGTTGTATATTCTGTGTTGTGAAGTAATCGGTAGCCTTGACTTCAAACAAATACATTATAAATGTCTATATAATGTACAAAAAACACATAACACTAGCGTTTCGTGTACTGAAATACATAATAAGTTTATATTAAGTTTTATTTAAAAATCATTAATTTCTATGTAATTTTTATTTGTATAAATAATCAATAGTTTAGCACTTGGGTTGGTGTACTTTTTTATGCACTTGGTGATTTTGCCCTTAAAATAATAGTTATTTAATTAAATAATTGTGAGTTTTTTTTTAGTTCAAATGCACTTTAAATATGCAATTGTTTAGACAAATATTCATTTGATCGCTTCAATGGATACACTGTTGTCTGTCATAGGATTTCAAGTGTACTCCCAGTCCTTCAATAGTTATCCCCAAACAATAAATACAGACAACAAATAATAAAAACTTATAAATTATTTATAGAAATAAAAATAAAATTAAATTTATTTCTCTATAATTTGCATTTTTACGCCAAATTTGTTGAAATAATTGTTATTTTGCTGTCTGTCTAATGGGTGTATGACTGAAATTTGTTCACTAAAACTATAATACATATGATTTAATTGTGTTTTACGTGTTTTAAGTAACACTTATGACAGTTATGTGTTATGTATCACAGTATCAGACAATCAATTGTATAGCCGAGGGGTTTGGTTGAGAAATACATGTCTAATATATTTATGATTAAATTGTTTTGTATTCACAAATTT